ATCGTGTTTAGCTGAATAGAGTTTTCACTTCACGAGATGAGTGTGTGGCATAACATCTAGATTTTTCTTGAGCGTTTAGGTAATCATTTTAGCTATATAGAAAATGAGTTAAGGTAGTTATTGGCGGATTTGTAAAACTGTTACAGTAGTGAATAGACTGTTGAGTTAGCGATTTTATTAGTTTAACTAGTTTGGATTTCGGTGAAGAAATCATGAATATCAGAATGTGTCATACGTTCGAAAGATTAGCATACAAGTGAAGGTTGTTGTATTGGCGTCTACTGTAAACTTAAGCCCATCAGCGAATATTAGTTCAGCTAACTAATAATTTGTGGTTCAAGTTATCATTAAGTGAACTGTGTGTGTAATTTAAAACTTTTGGGATGCTAAAGAAGCCACGAAGATCTTACGACATTGAGCAATGAACAGGTTTTCAATCAATTTGTTAGCACTTACTTTAAGTTGAGTTACACAGTTCTTTTGTAAAGGATTGAAATTTTTGAGACTGGACATTTCAATTACGTCAAGAGTACGAGTCCGGGAACCGTGTGAAACTTGAGAAAGTAAAATCAGATTTCAAGTAACTGCGATTAAAATAAAATAAATCGCATAATCAGTTTTTAATGTAATTATTTTTGTACATGCAGCAAAACATCTTATCACTTGTGAATTCTAAAATAATTCGTTAGAAAATCTAATTTTTAACGATAATTATATAAACAATAAAATATGTGTATTTCTATGCACCCCCGAAACCTTGTTAAACTGTAGCTCAACCAGCTCCCGCTCTATGAACATCAACGAAAATACAAATGTGAAACTACTAGGACGAAACTTATCGGTGCTATCAGTTGTTTGTTACGGTACGTGTTTGATTTATCGAGTTATCATTTCATACAAAAACGTTTATTTGTTTTCTTTATTTACAGTGTATTGTTACTTATCCGGAAGTGATGATGTCATGTGTTAACAAATACAAAATAAAATACTATATTTGTAAGTTTCGTGTTTGTAGTTAAGCACAAAGCTACACAATGGGCTATCTCTGTTATGTCTACCACAGGTATCGAATCGCGGTTTTTAGCGTTCTAAGCATTCAGACTTACCGCTGTGCCACTAGGGGACTATTTGTAAAATATTTCTAACGTGTAAATAAATGGTCGTAATGTCGGGTAAGGTCTGAGCGAGTTAAATAAGGAAGAAAAGGAACAGAACATACCGAAAGAGTACAGAAAGTTTGTTTTGATTGTTGAATTCCATGCAAAGCTACTCAAGGGATACACTAGATGAAAGGCAGTTAGCCAACTCTTCGGCTACTCTTTACCAGGGAAAAGAAGAACCTCCACTGACGTCCAGTTCCATTATACTTATACAACTGGCAGTAGAGTTTTCTCAGAGAATAAAGTTTTTATTGTCGAATGCAAGTCTGTTTACCATACAGCATCTTAACCTCTAGACGGCCACCCCCGAATTACGAATGGCATCAGAGTTTCCTCAAACCCCGAACGCCAGATGAAAAAAGAAAAGAAACTGAACAAACACATCAGTATTATGCAATTCATAAAAAAATCATTGATAAACCAAGAACTTTAAAAGGAAGGTGCAAATAAAGCACCTCTAAAGATGTCTGGGGAGCTATTATAATACCCCTAAAATTGTAACATTTGATGCATGTTTTCGTTTTATCTCCCCTGTTTTATTACATGAGGGGTTGGGCCCGCAAAGACTGTAGTGCCTCTTTGAGCAAAAAAAAAAAAAGTCTTAGAGATATTCGTTTTATTTGCCTTAAAAGTCGAACAACTCTCGCCAAGATTACTGACAATATTTCGTCACGAACGAAAGTATAAAGTGATGGAAATTTAATACACAGTTAGGATTGAAAAGTAATATCAGTAAGCTCCCATAATGCTTAACAGAAGCAGCGGAGTTTTCCAGCTGTCTTGTTAATAGTTGTTTGAAGATGTGCAGCAGACCGTGTGTTACACTGTTTCATAGGGCATGTGTTAAACAGTAATGTGAAACTTTCTGGGCTGTCGGTTTGGTAAGCCTCTTGTTTCTCTGTGTCGGTCGAAGCGGCCACTAAGTGAGGTGTGGTATTACATAGTGCCACACGTGTTAAGTCTCACTCTGTTGTAATCACTTTTTTAAAAGTTCTATAAACTATATTTGGTTGCTATAGGTAACTGAGAAGGTCTGCATTATGATAACGAACCTAACAGAGAAGTTTTAACGACACAGATCATGTTCCACAAAATGATATAGTACCTCTATGAAATTTCAAAGAACACTTCATATTTACTTCTGTTAAAGCAACCTCGGTAAAGTGTATTTATAATTATAGTGTTTTACTCCAAAGGGACACTTTGCTTCATTTCATTTAATCAACAATTACAGCGTGAATGGTTTTTAATATGGTTAAAAACATTTCATCCCAGCTTTTGTAAAAATGCCGCCTAATTGAATGGTTTTTAACATGGTTAAAACATTTAATTCCAGCTTTTGTAAATATACTGTAATCTTAGTTGATATGATCGTTACTGTAGGAAACTATTGAAGCAGTGTATTTAATACAAATATAAGAGTTTGGAATATAAGACTATTCATTGAAGACAAGAAACGAATCCGATGTTGTAAAAGGTAGGCCAATATCAAAAGAATTTTACTAACAAAAAGTAGACTAGACGTTGGAGGATATAACTGTGAAGTAACATATTATTAGATGTAAACACATAAAACAGGCAGGGCTACGAAATAATTAGTGAAATGCAGTCTTTATGTTTAAAAACCCCATTTAAACAAGTATTCTAGACAAATGCTTCATTTGTGAATGAATTAGGATAATAATAATTATAGAGATCGCTTCTGTACGACAGGTAAAATTCTACTATGTTCATATTTTGATATTAATTTACATGAATTAGTGTTGCACCTTCTGAAAAACGTCAAGAGATATACATACCACATGGGGCGGAAAAACACAGTAACTAATTCTAAGTAGGCCTAAACTTCATTGTTAAGTAGTTTTTCGATGGTTTTACAGCTCTTAAAGCCCTCACCTAACTGAAAGTCACCAGTTTTATAACTGGTGCTTATGGACTTAATTATGAATATATTAATATGAATTCTGTTTACTTGTGATGATTATGTCAATGAGCACATGCTAAGTATTATTTGAGAACATACTTGTAGTTACATTTTAAAAACTGTGAAAACCAATGTGCCAATTTATTTTTTACATTTCTTATATAAAGTGTGGAATGTTTTTTTTTAGTAAAGTGGTTCGTAACATGAACCTGAATATTTGTCTTAGTTCTCATTGAGTGGGAAAAGCAGGAGGACTAACTCTTGATGTAGTTTCCTAAGCTAAGTCTTATAGCACAAAAATATGAGACTCTTAGTGATACATGACAAGAACATTTGGTGTGGTTCAGTTACAGAAATGTCGTACAAGTACGTGAACATTTAGTGTGATTTATTTAACCAAATGACGAAGGACAAGTACACGTAAACGTTGTGTGGTTCATTTAATAATGCATTATATTAAATTAACATTAAGTTTTGAAAATGAAATAAGATACCCATGCAATATTTGTACATTACATCAGAATGTACGAAACAATAGTAATTAGTATCAGAACATTTTTATGTACAAACACAGTTGCTTAATGCTTACATTCATAAATGCTTAAATCCATAAAGTTGTGGAAAATTCACTGCAATATCCATTTAATGACAAATTTGACTCCCAACCATTTTTTGCATTTTTTTATAGTAAATTTCTTCACAATATCTATACATTATGTTTATATAAAAAGAAGTAATGACAGCTTTTGTTTTTTTTTGTACTTGAAATTTTATGGTAAAGTACGACGTTCTTGATTTATTTGATTGTAGATTCTATGTTAATTCATAGTCAGGTTTCGGACTTTGTGAGGAACAAAAATAGCATTCACTTTTTTATTTTTTAGTTTCTAGCTTCGAGGAGTAATATTTTTCTGCTAGGTTCTGATTTTATTTGTATTTTTGATACAATGGCAGCATTTAATTGTCAGGTTTTGAATTTTATGATGAAGTAGTGACAGTTTTTATTTGTCTGGTTCTTAATTTCTTTATGCAACAATAGTCTTAATTTGTCTGATTTTGAATTTTTAAACTTAAAGAAAGCACTGATAGTCTTTCATTTGGAATTTGGGGAAGAAATGACAGTCTTCACCTGCTTCAAGAGGGACACTGTAAGCGATGAGCTACATTCCTAGTTTGTACAAACTCTGATGGTTTTTTTTCTCTCAAACTTTTAACAAAGTATTTGTTTTTCAGAAAATTCCAAAGGTTTAAAATGTATCATACAACTCAATGATGTATGTCATATTGATAACTGAGTATAAACGACGTCTATTTATGGCTGTTTCTTAATACTATTTTAATTTCTGTATATATATTTTCAGTGCAATACATGCATATCTATACATAAATACAAAATAAACGTAAGTTCTGTGCAGCATAGCTAGCAATATCTTCATTTATATTTTTGTTCAACGCCAAACTACAACCCCCCCCCCCCAACCCCTTTACTTATTACACATTGAGATTGACTAAAGAAAATTAATCAGTAAATCAACAGACATTTTCAATTGTAACATCTTAAACATATCGGAAATTAAGAAATAAACCGAATTATAATTTTAACGAGCGAATTGGAAACAACCACGATTTTCTTAACACGTGTAAACCGTTTCACTATGAAATTCATATAAAAAGTCTGGAATAATAATAATTTCACAGTTCAGTCGATCTGTCGTTACACAATTCGACTCAAGTGCAAGAGAGGAGATTGTAACAGACTACAGCATCTATCGTTCCTGAACCTTCTAACCAGTGTAAAGCCCCGATATACTGAGTAATTGACTTTACGTTAATACTGAAAATGTGAATTATTCCAGACGATTGTAATTTTTATTACTTTAGCAGGCATAAATTAACGACTAAATCGTACTACTTACTTTGTTGTGAGCTTCAGCTGCAAATCCTGATTTAAGTGCTCTATTTTCTGCCATTTTCAAAACAATTTGTGAAATTTACTTGGAAGGAAAACAACTTGTTTTCACCGAGAAATGCCCGTGCACACCTCAGAACATCACCCAGAATCGACCATCTAAAGCACACTCGCTATGCTGCCGTAGTTCAAAACGTGGTCACGTGATTGTTGGGTGTATCTGTGGGGGTGACGTCACATATGTAACCTCTCGCACAAGCTTTAATTATCACAGTGGGCGAGCATTTACTGAAGAATAAATTTAGGTATGACATCATATTACTTTCTTTCTTTAATGAACTCAAAATGCAAGCAAATCCATTTTAAAAGAACCCAGTAACTTTTAGTAATGAATTATTAAGTCTATATTATAAACAATGAACTTCTCAACTTTAACTCAATACACAGAGCATTATAGCGCTTCTCATCATTTACAGTCCTTACACTTCCGCGATTAACAAAAAAAACTAGTTAAATATATCCTATTCGAGGATACACTGACTTTCATCACAACAAAGGCTAGTCGGTTTTCCCATCGTCATAATTACGTTTATAACATCAGCATTAGCCTAAGGATTATAGTGGTTTCAAACTTCGTGAAATTAAAATTTATGAACATATTTGTGAATTTAGAGCTACAGGGCTTTAATTATTTTGTTTCACAGTTCACTGAGGTGGCTAGTTTAAATAGAAGTTGGCACTTATAGATGGTTCAGTTTGTGTGATGTTCTCACAAAAAGTTTTTGAAGTGTCACGTTTCGATTGGAATATTATTTAACCATAAAGAGACTAAAAAGTAAAATTTTGTGGTATTCTCCGGCACATAGATTTTCAGCAGAGTTTGACGATTATTGAGTTGCGGAGTATATTTCTGAATATTCAGACTGAGTTCATTGTAAGGAAGGAGTCAGTATACAATATGTACATAACAATCTTTATCAATTACAAACATAGTCAAATACAAGCACAATACACAAACAAAATAGGGGTAAATGTTTGTAGCGGGTATGTGAAACTGGTAAGAGAGATAGAATGTGGCATAAAATCTTTATTGGTTCTTTGTTACTAGTTCAGGGTTACCCCCACAGTTATATACAGATAAAAAAGTTCAAATATTAAAGAAAAGTGGCCTCTTTAAGTTAACAATCAAACTTCTCAAAGTAAAACAAGTTACTGAAATAGACTCTTAGTCTTAAAGTGTGAATACATTTACAACTCTTCAAAGTTAAATCAAATATATATATATATATAATGCAAAAACAATCTTACAAAAGTTTAAAATTATCCAACTTATCACCAGTCTCTCGACAAATCTCTGCGTAACAGGGTAGAGTGTCTTTAAATACCAAAATACAAAAGCATAAACAAAGCCAGGTTGCTCACGCCATGCACCTGGTTCGTATGGCTTCAACCACTCTTACTTGGACACAGAAACGAGAAAGCCCCAGACCACTAAACGATTCAACAATAGAAAAGACAACTGTCTATTTCCTGATATTGCGAGTGAAGCCTCAACTATTTTCCTGCAAATGAGCATACTTAATGACAAATTAATGGATGTAGTCCATTGTGCAACTAAGTTAAAGAAAGTTATGTTGTTTACTTGAGCGACTGTGTCCAAACTGACTGAAAGGGAACAGAAATTTCGAAAAATCTACATATTAACTAAGGGTTTAGCAAACATATTATATCTTTCTATATCACAGTAAATAGAAATTTATTGCAGAAGTGTATTTTTATTGCATCCTCATCCCCGTTAACCAACTAATTCCAAGTTCATCTCTATGAGTCTGAAGAGAGAGACCAAACACATTTAAATCAAAGTAAAAACTAATTTTTATTAAATACAAAAACACTCAAAGTGACAAGTGCACAAGGACACTATATGGCACTGTCCTTCTCTTCTATAAATGGGGACAATTCACTCGAAGAAATTCTTGATGTAATTCTGTGATTAATTCTCATTGAGATTTAGAGAATAAAAGGACTATATGTATAGCAGAGGAGAACCATGTCTCCCAAAGGTGTGTTTTACTTTACTCCCACAAAGTTGGGAAATTTCACCAACGAAAATGGGGAGGATATTTACTTTATAACCCAACTATCGTCCTCCAACAGTATTACTGGATGGATGGATTGCAACGCCTCTAGGAAGAAAGATTCCAGAAAAAGTAGTTGACTGCTCTGCATGAAATTAGACCTCTAGGACCTATGCTTTACCAAGCTGAAAGTAATCATGTTTATTACAGCAACACATCACTTGATGGACTCAGGCCATACATCACAGGTCTATTCCAACAACAGTGTTTTGACAAACAGGATTAAAGAACCTATGCTATTGTTTTCATTGGCACCAGAACTGTGAACCAATGGGACTGTTCACTACCTACCTGAGGTAGAGACAGAAAACAACACATTATCTTGTTATGCTATAGGGGTCAATATAAAAAGATTTTGACTTCTTCCTGAAGCCTGTAAGGAAGTAGGTATCTGGAAAATCTGGGTGCTAAGAGATGAGTTGCAATTGATATCCTTAGATAGATATTCTAGTATATATTGAAAGCAGGGGTGAATATGAAGCCAGTAATGTGTGCACTTATGTGCATTCAACGGGAAGTCCTAGAGCACATAATAGGTAAAGAAGGACAGGATATTTAAATACTGCAAAAATCGCAGCCATTGAAGATTTGCTTCTAGTCTATCAATAAGAGGGAAACCAGAAGCTTTCTAATCTTTGTGTTATCCTACTGACAACTTGTTGCCAGTTCTCGACAAAAGCTATAGTTGGTAGATAACTTCTACATTATACAAGGAGTATTGGGTTCGAATATTAGCCAAAGAAATCATAAAATTGAAATTACAACACCTATGCCTACTAACCTATTCTTAAGCTTTAGTATTATTACGCCATTGTCTAGAAAGGTACTGTAATCTAAGACTTTGAAAATACTTTTTTTCAACACCAGTATCTAACTAGTTACACTAAGAGTGTAAAAGAGCTGCTAGTCAGTGGTATGCAAGCACACCTTGTGCTTCCTACCCTTTTAGTTTTAATATATTTTTTCAGAATTTCTGTACATAATTATTATGTGCTGTTAATATAGAAAGTCAGTTAAGGGAGCCACTTCTTCTTATCCTAGTTATTCACAGAACTAGGTCAGTCATCTAGGGTGTATAGTGTACTTTCTTGCGAGAAGAAATGCTGTAACATTGAGGTTACTGTATAAAAATCAACAGTGATCTTTTCCACTGGAAAGGTAGTTGATGCTCCAGGAATGCATTACCCCTTGTTCTGAAGTGAGAGTGACCTCAATCATAAGGTAGAACTGTGCTCTAAAGGTAATGCCATTGGTGTTACTAGAATATATTATACCATGTTTTCTCAGTCTAGAACAATTTAAGTGAACTATATAATTCAGGTTATATATTTTTCTTTCCAGTAAAAACACCACACTGTACACTTGTCAGTAACTTTAATTGTGTTTGTGTTTAGAAACAACGATTGTTTCACAGTGTTCAATTTCCATCCAGTCTTTTTCTTTGCTTCAGTATGGCTGATTAGCTTCACACCCTTAAAGTTTAACTTCGGTACACAGGAGGTATGGATTATTGATGATTACAACAGTGTTATGCTGTCTGATGGGACCAAGACTGGTCTCTTCAGGACTCCAGGATATTTCCAGACCAGAATAGTCTGAACCTGGTTCTTGGTGATGCCACCCTTGACTGGCCAAGAGAGACCTGAGGTGCTTCTGGTAGACAGCATCTAACAGCAGAAGCTGCTTCCCATCAGGTGAGACAATGGGCATAAACTGATGAAAATAGTTATTCATGGGACAGTTATTCACTCTGCCTCTCTTTGGCAGAAGAACCTTGGAGTTGTTCAGAGTAGATGGACAAACAAACTCCTGTAGCTTGTCATTCTATGGCCCAAAGAATGGACCTATGCTTGTCTGATTGTAGGGTCCCTGCATCAGCCCACTTCACCACTTCCATGATGTCTAGAATGTCTCGGCCTGGTGTTGGTTGGGAGTCTGTGGGTGAGATAATTATGCCAAAACCAAAAACAGAAGTGATAGAGGCAAAACAGATCAAACCCCTAATGTTTTAGGGTGTGGCAAAGAAGGACTTGAAGTGTATTTGAGGGGTTTCAGGCAGGCCACTGCCTAGAATGGTTTACTCGGAAAGAGCCAATACAATGCCTAACCTTGAGTTTGATTATTCCAGCTTTTGATATTATCATGTATTTAAAGAAGGCATAAGTACGGGATTGGAATACAATTGAAGCTGACTAACATCAATGGTTTCAGCTAGTGGAGAATCATCCATTGAGCTAAGTTTACAGCTTGTGAGAGTGGTCCCTCTGAGAAATTGGGTGCTTATGCAGACAATATACATGGAAAAGCACATTCTGCAATAGTTTAAGTAGATTATAAAGACATCCTAGAAGACACGTTCATTGAAAGGCTACCCAGTGAGACAATGAGGCATCATTCACTTGTGTGTGAGAAATACTCACCTTAATAGAAGCAGTTTCTGTGGCAGTGATGTCTCAAGTCATGACCTCAAATGAGTCACACGAAAGGATAAAGCCTGGGCCTCAAACAGACTACTCTACTCAAGTGAATATTTCACATGGAGCTTCACCAAGGGCAAACCAACAGCAAACACATGCCTAGTAAATAGGTCCTTTATTCATGTTTTTGTCCTCCCCTTGAGACTAAACGAGGTAACTGGTAGGTGCTGGTCATAAGCTGTAACTTCACAGTGTGCCAGTTCTTATCTATTGGTCTATAATTCAACAAAGTCTGTAGCTGATGTGTTGAAGAAACATGGGGTATCCTAATTTGGCACTTCTGAAAATATCGACACAATCCAGGGAGTTAATTTAACAAATCAGCTATTCTCTGTGTTGTGAAATGCGTTAGGTGTGGTAAAGACACACACATTGCTTTACCACCCCCAGTCTGATGGTTTGGAGGAGAGAGTAATACAAACTATCAAGTGGATGCTTGTTAAGTTTGTTGTTCTTCGCCTTACTGACCGGGTAAAGATTCCAATATGTCATGATGGCACACAGTACAGCACAAAAGAAACTGATTACTTGTTTGCTGAATGTTCTCGTGTTTGGTCGATAAACATTGCTCT